GAGCGATGTAATTCGGTATTAAACAAGTTTATAACTGTAGGACTTTTAAATACCGTGAAATAGCTGTTCATAAATCGTCATGTCTCTGCATTTACCAATGCGGCCTGTAAAGTTAACAATATTAATCAAATCCACTATTAAATTTTATGAACCCTATATGGTCCTCCTTTATTACCGTAGAGAAATGTGTGGTTTTCCGTACGCGGAAAATATACGGCTTGTAGTTTGGAAACCCAGAATCCAATTGTAACGGTAGAGTGGGTTCAAAATTATACGGGAACTGGAAAAGTTTTTAAAACCGAATTATACCCTTCCTTCGAGTATAAAATTGGAAGAACACGTAATTGTCGACCGAATGAGCAAAAGAATGAATATTTTTAGGCATGTTTTCTATGAAATATAATGGAACATTTAGAGGTGTAGAAAATTAATGAGAAACATCTATGCTACTTTAATATTGATTTTTTACAGTATTGTTTTTACATGCAGCTGGAGGGAAGTTCATTCGAGAGCCGGCATCCTGGGGTAACTGAAATATTATAGAATTATGTTGCCGGTTGACTAGTTTTACAATCCTTCTTCATCAATCTTTTTGAAACGAAAACACATTTCGAAATTTCGGTCGACATTTCATGAGCTAGTCCACCTACTGTATGTGGACTGCCTAAAGTTCACAATACTGCAACCGATAGTATCGTCAATCGGAGTACTCAACTACAAAATTTCCAAGTGATTATTTCACAAATTTCGCTATTTTACGAGTAATTGCGAATCTTCAGTCGAGAAGCCAACAGACTTCATAGAGAAATAGATGAAATAATGCTCTCCTTCGGTGCCGTTTTTCTCTTCACGTTGATAGTTTTAGATTTATCAAAACAGTGCACAGAGGAACTGTTGATGTCCCATGACATAGATGCTCCCGCAGTTGCCGTGCATGAACTCATAGACCTATGCATGGAAACCAGCTTCCCATTCAACAACTGAAAGGATCTCCTATAAGGTCACCCTTTTCCGGTTTTCTCGCCGAAATGACAGTGTAGAAATTAGAGACCACAACTCTTCGTAACTTAACTCTAAACGTTTGTTGTCGCTAAAAAGAGCTAACTGGAAACGCCAACAGCACTATAAACTAAATTATTCCCGGCATTAAATTCACACTCGAAAAAGGAAGTTGACAGTAAAGTCCTGTTCCTGGATGTTTTAGTACAGCGAAAAACCAACGGAACACCGTGTAAATCGATTTACCGAAAAGATGCCTATGCGGAAGACATTCTACATTATGAGAACATTGCGCCAATCACTTACAAACGGAGTGCTGTCAGCAGTCTGCCTAGTCGTGCAAAAACACATTGTTCTGGCAAAGAAGGCCATAGAGTTGAATTAAGTTTATTGTGTGAATTGTTTTCGTTGTTAGTCACATGCTCATAGGGCAAACATGATGACATCGTCTGTCATCCTGAACTGATAGGCCGTTTTCAAGTCGTCAGGGTACACAAAAGGTGTGTCAATCAGAAATTTTCTATAATTATAAAAAGACAAAACGAAAACTAGCAAAGTTCGCATACATGCATATGTCCGCTCCTTGTAGGTGTGGGGCTCGAGCAAACAAGGGGTATGTATACTTGCTTTTCGAGATAGTTCGGGCAAGGGCCTGCACAATATGGAAGTTTCTTATTTGCCCCAAAAGTGAGGAGCTCAGTGCGAAGAGACACATTTTGATGATCAGGCTGTGTACAGTACGCGTAGACGAGCCTCTTAGCCCCGTCAACCAATCCGTCTGCGTACCTCTAGTTTTTTTATTTCATCTTGCAACTGGCGGATGATGGGTGCGGAAAGAAAAAAAATAGGATAGTTACTCCGCAAGAATGCTTTTCTATGAACGCATGCATCGGCAAGTCACAGCTCCTGGAGCCACCTATTAAGCGGCTGTAGACCTTAGCTACTCCTACTGTCAGGCCTGGTCCCAAATAGAGAGAGAGGTAGGAGAATTTGCATGCCAGTAAAAAAACACGTTTCTCTGTGCAGAATGGATAGAGAATGGGTTGTAGCAAGTTTGAAGCCGGACGAGGGCGCGTGTTCGGCGTCTCACGAACAGACACTCGAGAGTCACCGAGGCAGGCGTCAGACCATCTTGATCGTGGACATAACTGAGTCAGCCTGGAAGTTGAGTGGCCGGTTCGGACAGCTGTGATTGGTTGAGAATCATACTGCCGCGAGTACGCTCAAGAGGTGCAGTGTTGAAGGGCACTGGTTCTCCTCTCACCGTACAATGGGTTCCCAAATAACTGAAGTGCCAAGTCGCAATGCTGAGAGGTTAGAACTTTGTTTACATTGCAGGTTGTAGTGATGTAAATTTTTATACTAGAAGTTGTGGCTGTGACTGTGTGGTCGCAGGTCAGGGCAGTGCTCCTGTTGCGATTAAAGTGATAGTGTTCTAGCCACAGAACTAAGACGCAGCGTTGCAATTGCGAGAAGCGGAGGGAAAGACTCCCGCGACGTCACTGCTGATGGTAACGTCACGTGTCGTGGGAGCCGCATTGGTTGTCATTATGATGGGCCTAAATATATTCGGTAACCTCAGTACGCATGTTGAATATCAGTTGAAAATGTGTGTGATGGCAAGGGTTGAACGCTCGCAACACTGTTCCGTCGCAGCTCAGGTTTCCGGGTATTTACTTTCCGCATTTTGTTGGCGTCCTACATTATTGCTCCAGACCATAAGGTAACGCGTTGGACCCGCGCGGGGCCATTTCAGAGTCTCAGGCTTAATTTATGATTATGTTGGTGAAATCTTCTGGCTGTCCTTGCATCGTCGCCGTTTCTGCGTCATCTGCGTGCGCCAAGAGCGACGTCGCCGTTGATTGTGTAGGCGCTGTTCAAAAGTCATCATGACATGAGGAATCTATCATGGGCATATCTGGCTCAGTGAGTTTTGTATACCGAGAACGCCGGATGTGGGCGCAAATTCCGACGACTGAAATGTCCATTGTGCGAAATGCGTCCTTTAAAAATTTTAAGCGTCGACTAGACAGTCCCAAACTCCGTCTTAACACCGGGCTCTGGCGCGTGGGGGAGGAAAGCGTGGTGGTTGCAGTGCATGTCTAATATCACCATAAACCAATTCGGGCGCAAGTCACTCTACCTTCTCCAACTTTGTTGTGGAGCACAGAGTGGACGTTGTCGGGGACGACTGTCGACCTGTTGCGAAGTTGAAACGTGGATAAAAATCTTACCAGAAACGCAAGCACTACTCCGCGTAATAGCAGCTGTGCAAAGGAGGATAGTAATTCAACTGCTAAGACCGAGGGGTGCCAATATGTCCTTCTCATCAATAGCGACCACAATGGGTCACTACGCACCCCTTCCATAGGTCCACTGAAATTCGGCAGAGCATCTCAACAAACCAAAGCACCCTGTACACACTGTAGGTGGAATGAGAGTGCAAGAAACGATGATATAAAATGATTGTTCTCCCTTATGTGCAAACAAACAACACTCGCCATTGAATTCACTTTGTGAAACAGGGGAGAAGAGCGCAGTGTGGTGGATTCCCTAAAAGTCGAAGTGGGCGCGAGTGTTGCGAATTTATCGAGTGTGACCACGAAAGCGGTTGCTGAGACGGCTCTGGGATATGCACTTGATTAGCAGAAATACGGGCACCAGAGAGCCAATCCATGTGGTTTACCAGTCTGTAAGCCAACACGGGGTTAATCTCGAGTGGCGGTCTAACTGTCAGACGGCGGCGCATCTGAGATGCTAAACGATAGTACGCTATCCCAGTACCCTATATTAAGACAAGGTGTCACTTTGAAAGGACACTGCAAATTTAAGTAACGCCTATCACGAACACTAAAAGGCTAGTCCTTTACCACAAAGAAGCCTAGGCTAGTGTCTTTGGCGTGCACACCTTCGCTACGTCATCCAGTAACATGTAAATTGTCTGCATCTGGCAAATGATACCACCTAAGATAATGACCACTGGCATGGCTTCGAAAATCGTAGCCTGTAAATCCCTTTCCTTATCGACTTTCTGCTTCCTCCTAGGAGTTCATGAAAACTCCCTTCTCTTTTACGCGGCAGTACTTTGATATGCTTTATCAGCTTTGTTGTACTGTTATCGCGAGGACTTGGTAAATGTGTTTAAAAGACTTTAATTGTGCCAGCGCTTTAATGCTTCCTTCTTTTTCCACCATTTATCTGAGTTTCGAAATTCACCCTTACCTTGAGTACCGACAACCTGTACAAAGGAGTAAACCAAGTCCATAAAATCTGAGCTGATTTTCTTCACCAAGCAGTGGACGCTGAAAGCCGCCTTGATGACTGGCGGGTGGCGAACACGTTACTTTCGATTTGAACAAACCAAATCTGGCGGCTGCGATGTGCGAATGACAAAAGAAGCTGTCATCAACCTCTTTCTGCTTCTCCTATTCGTCCGAGATTTTGAACCCCAACCTCTGCGGCCGTCCGCGTCTTATAGGGTTGTCGGCACTTATTGCTTCATAACCTGCATGCCTTGGTGGCGCAAAACATGAATCGATTGCCGGAAGGAGGAAGACTTAGTAAGGTCGCCAAAAATAAACATCTTTCAGTAGGGTTAAATGAGGATGCAATAGGGGATGTGCCTTCCGGGAAATAACACCCATTGTTTAGGTGGACTACCTACTTGGAGCAGAAGTGAGGTAACATTTTCTATATCTTCTGGCACTTCTAACCGACTTGGTAATTCGAGGAGAAAACCTGCAATCTTACAGGCGGAAAGAAAGAAGTAGATGGGGCTGCTAAGGAAAAGAAGTGTGCAAGGATCTGGACAAAAGATAACTTCAGCATTCCAATAATTATTATGAAAATTTCACGTACACAATCAAGTCTACGCATTCCAATAATCGGTTTTGTCCACGTTAAGCTCCCTGTTATGCACATAAACCATTGACCGGAGTGTATTTTTGCTACAAAAACAAGATCATGACTGAAAGCTAGTAAGGCCACTTAGTCAGTTCTGTTCATTCAATTTGGTCAGCATCCTCATTATCTCCATTATCTTCATTATCGACAGCACTCTCCGCATTCTCCTCCGTTTCAGCGTCATTTTCCGGGAGGGTTGCATCCGCGATCTCCTCATCATTAAGTGGTGTCTCTGGAAGAATTTCGCCTGTAAAAGCAAAATGACGAGGAAATGGGCATCTATTTGGAGCAGGCGACTCTTTCGGATGAGAGCCTTAAAGTTGCAATCACTCACCCGTCTCTGGGTTTCCATCTTGCTCTTCCTGTGGGGCAGACTCCTCCAACTCGGGTTCTTCTGACGTCTTTGGATCCACGTCTCTTGCCGGCACCTCGACGCCGTCGAGAATTGCATCCGCGATCGCCTCATCGTTAAGCGGTGTCTCTGGAGGGGTTTCACCTGTAAAAGCAAAATGACGAGGAAATGGGCATCTATTTGGAGCAGGCGACTCTTTCGGATGAGAGCCTTAAAGTTGCAATCACTCACCCGTCTCTGGGTTTTCATCATCCTCTTCCTGTGGGACAGACTCTTCCAGCTCGGGTTCTTCTGACGCCTTTGGATCCACGTCTTTTACCGGCACCTGGACGCCATCGAGATTCTGAATGAGCGCTATTCGCTCGGCCTCAATTTTTGCGGCCTCCTCCGCTGCTTTCTCGGCTCTGGCTTTGGCCTCCTTGAAAAATGAGTAAATTTTAAGTCATTAGAATCTGTGCAACTATTCGAGGACGACTTTGGAGGCAACTGCTTTGCCGAGGAGCAAATCAGAATTCTACCAAAATTCCCAATAACGATCGGCTCAGAGGAGAAGACTGTTGCGCGGCTGAATACTTCGTTACCGTTCAGACAAAGTCGTCGTTATCGACGAGGAGGTAAAGTTTTTCCATGTCACAGATTCGATTCAGTCTCTGCTGGCAGGTGAGAGGTAAGTGGGTGGGTGATACAAGTCAGGATATAGCCTGCTGACCCCAACCGCGATTCAATCGCATTGACTGATTTATAAGCAGTCAGACAGCACGCTAAGTAGTTCACAATGGAGAAGGACCTTGCCACCGGGGCGCTTGGTAAAGACTGCTATAACCGGGTACGTCAAAAGTGCAAAAAGGTGGAAAGGTAAGGAAGGAGACTAAATGGTGTTAAGACTCTGTCGCATAAGCCAATGCGCATTTGGCTTCAGGGGTGCTTACAGCGTCATTGGAATCTTTAAAGTCGTTTACTATTTGTTAGTGGCAGTACGCTAGTACATGTTTGTGAACAACAGAAATTGCGGGTTATCTTTTTAATCTGCCTGCACTTATAGAACTATTAAGTTAGGTGTAGCAGGAAATGGATAGTTATGGTTGATAGGGTTTACAAGAAACAACGGAGGCCTGCGAGTCTACGCTGTTTCAGTCGCCCTCTCGTGTCCCATGAATCTTAAGAATTGAGGAAGTGAGAGTTCTGTTGCAGGATGTCCACACCATCACCCCGTCAAATTATTCCCCCTTTTTGTAAAATACATGTAACTCGCAAAATTATCTAATCGTTCCTTTATCAAATGCGATAGTTCACTTATTGCAAGAATAGTGCTCCAACCATGATTAATTCACAATTATTTGCATAAAAAGTCCTATTGGTTTGAGTCTACCAGTGGATCTTTATTGAAGAGAGTGACCGCAGTAGGTGGGCTATCTCAGGAAATGTTGGATGAGATTCCGAAGCATACTATCAGTTCGAAAAGATTACCTAACTGAAGTTGTTATACTAATTAATATGATGGTAGGGGGCGCTCACCGATAGTTCATACGGAACTCACTCGTTCCGTTGTGCCTTAAGGGCTCTCTCTCGAGCCCAACCAGCAGCCGCACAGCGGCGCATGATACACAGGCAGAATAGCATTACCGACAAAGAAAAGGGAGACTGGAATGGCCATTTCTGGCTTATTAGCCGTCGTCAGCCAGCCATACCCAAGCCCAAAGTGTAGAACACCCGAGCCTCGAACTCGCGGCCTGTTGGTTAAGAAGTCCACGCCTCTATCCACCGGGTCACGAGCCCGTTGCCCTGTCGGTTTTCGATCGGGAATATACAATGTTAGGGGGCGCTCACCGATCGTTCATACGGAACTCACTCGTTCCGTTGTGCCTTAAGGGCTCTCTCTCGAGTCCAACCAGCAGCCGCACAGCGGCGCATGATACATAGGCAGAATAGCATTACCGACTGGTTGGGCTCGAGAGAGAGCCCTTAAGGCACAACGGAACGAGTGAGTTCCGTATGAACGATCGGTGAGCGCCCCCTAACATTGTATATTCCCGATCGAAAACCGACAGGGCAACGGGCTCGTGGCCCGGTGGATAGAGGCGTGGACTCCTAAACCAACAGGTCGCGAGTTCGAGGCTCAGGTGTTCCACACTTCGGGCTTGGGTATGGCTGGCTGACGACGGCTAATAAGCCAGAAATGGCCATTCCAGTCTCCCTTGTCTTTGTCGGTAATGCTGTTCTGACTAATTAATATGCAGCATAATCCAAAAATACTTCAGTCACGCCAGGATGTTGACTCATGACTGAACTTCCTTACAGCCGGCTGCCTAAACTGCAATCAGTAAAAAAGGACTGTTTAAGTAGTATGAGTTTTTCCCGGCAACTTCCGATGCCCCTATAAGGCAAACTGTGTTTTATAGAAAACATACACAAAAATATGTATTCCTGTACCCGTTTGGCAGAAAAAAACGTCTAATTTTTCCAACCATGCAGCATCGCATCAGAACGTTTACTGAGGTTGTTCACAAAATGAAAAACGCGGTCTACATTCGTTACAAAATTTTTTGAGCTGTGCATGACATCTTATTGGCGCATAGAAAAGTGCTTTTTCCTTATAATAAAAGTATAGAACTTGTAGTATGGAAACCCGGAATGCAAGTGTAACGATAAGTCGGGTTCAAAATTATCGGGGTATTCAAGACGTCCTTTAAAACCGAGATATATTTTTCATTAACTACTGAATTTAAAAAAGACGCAGTCCGATACTGAAAGAGTAAAGGAAAGAATATTTTTTATGTATCTTGTCTGCTCAATCATATTTGAAAATATAAGGACGTCGAAAATCAACGGGATAGGTTCATATTGCTTAAGTAGTCACCTCTATCAGGACGTAGTTCACGCAACCGGTTCAAAGATTGTGCGTTCAAAGGCCGACATCCTGGCATGACTGAGCTATCTTGAGAGTATGCTGCACAATAAGCGATATTATAACCCTACTTAAGTAACCACTCCTAACCGAAAATGTATTTCAGTAAATAAACCCTCCCGCCACCTGTCACACGGGTTCTGGCTACCAACTGCGATCTAGCCGTTCAGTGGTCAATGGAATCAAGTTGGAGCCCGGGATCTGTGCAAACCTAGAGCTAGGACATGACCGCTTGGCGACCGCCAATTAAGCGTATAAAAGCCCACCACTCCTCTCGCTTTTGTCGGTAACCTTCTACGTACTAAGTAATATTGCAATTCAGTCGATCTTCCTCGTGAGTTTATATGAAGTAGAGATTAAAAACTCAGAACATACCAGCAAGAATATTTTATAACAGAGCTATAAAACACACCGCCTTGATAGTTTACAATTAAGTACAGGGAACAAATACTCTGGACAAGTAAGAATCAGTTGATCTAACAAAGGTAGGTTATGGCGCTCAAAAAACAGTACAAAACAATCTGAACGAAATAAGAGGTTATAAATCCCAGGGATAATGGAGGGCCGTTTTCAGAATGCAGTATTTAGGCATATTTTACCTACCTTCAGTTACAGATTCCACAAATTATCTCCAGTACCATTACATACATTTATCATTTAATTAAAACTGGACAGAATAGCAAGGGGCAGGAAAATAATCATGCGCTGAAAAGAGTTTTGCCATTCTACCGTCAGTGTGAAATGAAACCGTCTATACAAGGAGGCACAGTTCTAATGGCCACTATCAAGTAACCCCTTTTTCAGATCAAACTTCCAAATTAGCAGATATTCACACTAAGATCCTTACATGTATGAACGACAGCGATGTCACTAATGCATAAATTCGGTAGCGATATGTTTGTAGCATATGTTACCTAGAGTCGTGAGCTTCCGGATAAGTTAATATGTTAACCATAATAAAAGTGACGTTGTGGAATGCATGCAATTTGTAATTTTTAAACAGACCAAACGAAACTTTAAAAGGTGAATGATTTTTACTCAGGTTTCTTATTCATATTTGAATAACACGTAAAGGATACGTTATAGGTATTCTGTTTCAAACTAAAAGATCCCCTTAATAAAAATTATTAATCAGAAGGAAGAAGCGAGCTTTATCAACGATTTTGCTTGCATGGAAGTGACCCTCAGCGATCTATCCTAGTTATAAGATGGAACAGCAGATTTTTGTTTTGTTTCAAAATTGAGGACTGACAAACAATTCAAAAGAATCCATTCTCACTTCCTGAGTTTAGGTAGTAAATCGTACTGATTAACAATTCTTAATTAATCTGGACATCGAAAAGTACACTACAGCTGTAAGTCTGTCCTACGTTAAAGAAAAAATCTAGTTTTGTGGAAACAGACGCAATGGCTTCGAGTAAATCTTCGCTTTTATGAATTTTTCTAACCTTAGCCAGATTTTCGGCTTCAATCATCTTGCGTTCGTTGCCAAGTCGAAGTGCGTTGGCGCGCTTCTCCGCCAATTCCCTTTCGATCTCCTTTTCCCGCTGAAAATCCTCTTCAGCCTGAAGGAAAGGGGAAGAAGTCCTGAGTTATGCATATTTCAGTTTTTGGTCTCCTAATGACCAGAGCGGATAAAAATTTGGGGATATTCTCCACCTGTTGGATACAACACTGAAAGAATCAAAATAGCATCAGAAGCATACAACGAAGGATAAAATGGTGTAATAGTTTGTAAACTGACTTGTCTCTCATATTCCCTTGTTTCGAATACACGCTGCAGAAAGCGAGCGATAAACTCAATGGGATCCCGAGGCTTCCTTATAACAACCTCGGTTAAGGCTTCCTTCAGGGCTTGTCCCAGTTCCTTGATGAGGTAAGCAGCGTCATCCGTCAATTTAATTGGGTTATTTTCAGATCTGAAAATAACGCAAAGAAAGTGCATGACCTTACTGTGCACTATAAGTTTTGTGTAGAAGAGAAAAATCGAACGATACACGATAGTTCTGCTAAGATATAAAATTTTTCAGCTTAAAAGTTACAGTTTTTAAACATTAGTTCCGAAATTGAGAGATTTTTTGCCTGACATTTCGAAAAACATGGCTGACGAGTAATAACGTCACTGAGCGTATATGAATTCCCTACCTTGCCCTGTTTAATTCCAGACGAAATTTATGCGCAAACTTTAAGTAAATCTTTTGGAACAGACCTTTTTGGGCAGGGTCCGAGAATTGATATGGATATTTTGGCTGAAATCCATCGGCCACTGCGGCACAACTGCGTATTTATCGCAAACCGCCAACAGGCAGCGTGTAATTATTTGCCGTACTGACAGCAAAGGTACTAGCTAAAGTCCCAGATGCGCGTATTTTGCTGGTCTTGTGCTGCTGCCTAACGCAGCTCACCGTGTCTGAAAAGGTGTGTGCTAGGGGATTTATTCCGAGTTCTCAGACTGATTTTCTTGGAAAATAAGCAAAGCAAGATGAAACTGAAGTTCATATACCGGAAAATACATAGAGGAGGCCGGGAGACACACTGATGAGCCGCAGTCCTCGCAGCTGCGTCAGGCAGCGACATAAGATCGACGAAACACGCGTGTGTGAGCTTTTAGATAGTAACTGTGTTGTCAGTATGGGAAATACTTATACAATTCAATTCCCTGGCTTCTTATTTTAGAATGCAGAAAAGCAAATTAAACCAGCTGGATCGGATCTCTGTCGTTAAAAACTAACGGATATCAGAAAGGACAATTATCAAAATAAACCACTCGTAGGGAGCAAAACATATATCAATCTTGCTTGATTTCGCTTGCTTTGACTCAAAGGAATAAAATTTTAGGTCATGAAGCAATGTAAAGTAGGCCCCATCTTGGTTTTAGGGAGACGTAACAACAAGTTAAAGCGAAAGAAGTAAAACCTGACGTTTTAACAATACAGTTTTTGATGTTTATACTTACAACTTCACAAAAACCTAGTGAATCGTAGTGTTTTAAATGTCAGAGAAAGTTAAATTAAACCATCTCCAAAGTTGCTCCACAAATTCAGCCTAGGAGGCCAATGATAAGTCAAAATAGTGAGCGCCTCATTTATTTAACAAAAACTAAAACGACTTACAATTTTGTAGGACGTCATAAAAACGAAAGAGAACTTAGAACTAACCTTTTTGTGGTAAACATTTCGTAACGCTGGCTGTTGATGGAAAAGAAAAATGTATAATTAAGATATGAGCAAAAAGCACGCATAGCACAGAACAAGGGACTAATAAGTACAGAAATAGGCCGTCGAAAGCGTTGTTCCGTATTTTTTGTAAAAATTATTGTTTCTTGACCCATTTGGGGCGTTAGATGCCTTATTCACTCTATTTCCAAGTCTTAAACTGCAAAGCACTCCCTTCGGACGACTGACTACTGGCACTTTGCTGTTCCCCTTATTTAAGTTTGATTTCACTATAAGCAGGTGTTTTGACCGTCGTTCTCATTGCGGTGTAACTAATTACTGATCTTGTTAAAGGGCAAGCAAAACTCCTAAAAGGTCGTTAATGTAAATTCGAATCAATAAATAAAAACAACGTAAGAGGGGATGACTTATTGGTGCACGCAGACTTAAATGTGTACATGCTTGTTCAAAATTGTGGAATATATCTAGCAAAATCGCTCAAACTGGTGACTACAGGCTGCTTTAACGTCAGATGTTGTCTTGTTTGGTGATTTTTGTTATAATGGTGACAGTCTTGCCAACATATGTTACCAAGTTTTCCCTCCGGAGCATAAAATTGGTAAGCGCCCGAAACAAAACAGTAAGCTATGTAAAGAGTTTTGGTGTCTTATCTGCTTTACTTAAGCAGATAGATATATCTTCGAATGTTTCACCAAAATAGTTTCATTAAATGAAACAAAAACTATGAGACTGCAGGTGGCACGCCAATGAGTGAAATGATAAACAGCCTTCAGAGTGTGCCGATGCAAAACCAATGTCCAAGAAAACGGAGGAAGCCAATACAGTTTACAAAGCAATACCAGACAAAAAACTTGTTTAAAAAAGTAAATTACTCTCTTAAAAATTCAACAGAAATTGTCAGAGGAGGAAATGTGAACATCCTAAAGTGGGAAGCTGGCCCACGTTTGTCAGGGAGATTCATCTTTTTAGACTTGATTGCACTTTGCGGATCAATAATTGTTGGAGGTTAATATAAATAATCATGCAAACGCCCAAATTAAAATTGGCTGTTAATGTTTAAAAATTATATATGCAGCCTTCTTAAACATAAAAGGGTGGATCAGCCTGCATACAAAACAGCAAAAACTTAAGGAAGACCAATTGAAGTCTGCAGAGCATTGTCGAGTATCCATTTGGTTAATACTGAATTTACTGTTAACAAATCAAACGGGAAAGCATAAGAAGTATTTGTTAAGATTTTCCAGATCCCTGCAACTTGAGTAAGGTACATGAGTAACCACAGCGGTGAAGCCCAAATATATCCTGGTAATTTAGGATAGAGCATACGTCCCATTTTTGCTTTACTTATGAAGTCGAACTTGATAGCCCGTTCCATTGCATTTAGACCCGGTATTGTGGCACACGTATATGGGCCATTTAGTCCTGCCAGTGATTTTGCCGGATCCAGCCTGCGGTCTCGTTGAGTCTTCTTGACACCGGGCGCATATGATCAGTGAAGGAAGGAATGCTGTAGATGCGGTACAAGCCTGTTATCGCTAAAAACCAACTCACTCCCATGTCACTATCTTTTTGTCCATCTGTTACGAGCACACTATAGAAGTCGGTGAGAGCAACGACCGAACTGTCATAAAGTCAAATGTACTTGAGCATGATCAGAAATACCATTGTATAACGCCTTACTTCGTAATCTCAGCCTGTGCAAACCTGAAGATAAATATGCTAAAACTTTAGGTCAGTGAACGACATATGAAAACCACGACGAGGAGTAAGATAAGCGCTTAGAATGACAAGTATTTATGCATTAGGTATGGCTCCTTCGGCTACGAAACACTTCCTCTTGCCCACCTAAACGGCTGGAAAAAACAGGCCCGTTAATATTAACATAACGTCCGCGGATGAACTGAAACGTGCAGCTGATTTGACGTGGAAAAGGGTCAATTCACCGACTGTTGCTCCCGAACGAACGTCCAACTGCCTCTTGTAAAAGCCAATGTGATGGTTACTGTACAGCAATAAAAAGTTTCACACGTGTGCATGACTTAACCCGGTGATTCGACTGCTAATGCTCCAAATATTCGAACGGATTTCACAACTTCGCGTGTGGCAACAGAGAATTAGTGTATGCGAATAAAGTCTTGGGTCTTAATTAAGACCCTTGATTATAATTAAGGTCCTAGATGTGTTCTTCCTGCCACCCATATAAAAGTGTCTGCAGGCACTTGTATACAAGTAATTATACACAGGTGTAATTGATAACTCAAGCTATTAACTACAACTTTATTTGATTTCTTGTATGAAGTGCATATGCACATCTATAAATAAGTGAATATATATATTTATATATGTTGAAGTTAAAGGCGTTCTTTGGGAAAATGAACTTTATTGCGTAAATTTTCGACGCCGGTTCCCCAGGTCGTCGTCAGACGCAGACTGAGAGTAAATGTGCCGACAACAGTTAACATCTGGCAGCGCACGTGGAAAAATCGATAATCGTTCGCGTTTGTGCCCGTGAACGGCCGCTATTTGCGTCATTCTGTGCCGATTGGCTCTCGTCTCTTCCATTTCTCCTTGAGACTTTTGTACGCGGCGTCCAACTCGATGTGACGGTTGATGCACGATTCGTCCGAGTGCATGGCCTCAAGGAACTCTCGGCCTTTCTTGAAGGGGCAGGCGCCGACAATCCGTGTTCTGTCCCAAGCAAACGTATGCCCCGTGTCCAGGGTATGCATGGCTACTTGAGACAGGTGGTCTCGCCTCTTTACTGCAAGTTGGTGTTCGTGAATGCGTGTAGAGGCGGATTTTCCTGTTTGACCACAATAAACTGGATCACAGGCCCCACACGGGATCTTTTAGACTACTTCCTTTCTATCCAAATAGCCGACCCTATCCTTAGGGTGTACTATCTGAGTACGTAATGTAGTCGTTGGTCTGTGTGCCACCAGAATTTGGTGCTTATTTAGGCGCCTTTCCACGAGTTCAGACACGTTATTGATATAAGGGAGAGTTCGCCATGTATTTGGCTTGGGTGCCTGGCTGGAAGCTCTTTGTTCCGTTTCTTTTGACTTTTTCTGTCTCATGCATCGGCGCACAAAATTCTTGGGATACCCATTTCGGGAAAATAATTCACACAAGTAACTTAGTTCGGCCTGGTAGCCTTCTTCGTCCGAGCAGTGTGTTTTTGCCCGGTTAAGCAGACAGTTGACCGTACTCCGTTTGTGGGAAATGGGGTGGTTGCTCTCGTAGTGTAGAATGACTTCCGCATAGGTTTGTTTGCGGTACACCGATGTGCGCAACGTTCCGTCGGTCTTCCGCTGCACAAGAACATTCAAAATGGGAGTTTTTTGTCAACTTCTTTCTCGAGTGTGAATTTAATCCCCGGCATTGTTGAGTTAATGGTTTTGTGGAGCGTTTCTAGTTGATCCTTCTTAACGATCACAAATGTGTCGTCCACGTATCTCAACCACAATTTAGGATTAACTAAAGGAAGAGCCGTGGCCTCCAGTTTCTGCATTGTGATCTCGGCAAGGAAGCCAGAGATAGGTGACCCCATTGGGGCTCCCTTCAGTTGTTGTCGGGAGAAATAGCTAAACACTTGAAACAAACTGAACCCACCATTGCTAGGATCTATGGACTACCCAAAGTCCACAAAGCTGAAGCGCCGTTACGACCGATAGTATCGCTAATCGGAGCACCCAACTACAAAATTTCAAAGTGGCTATTCCAAAAACTTCATCCACTTACTAGGAATTGTGAAACGTCGATTGAGAACTCTGCAGAGTTTCTAAAGAAATTAAAAGGAATCACAGTTTCCTCTGACGAGATCACGGTGTCCTTCGATGTTGTCTCCCTCTTCACGTCCATACCGTTAGAATTGGCGAAACAGTGCACAGAGGACCTCCTGCAATCCTGTGACACGGATGTTCCCGCTATTGCCTTACTCGAGCTCTTAGACCTGTGTATGGAAACCAATTTTTCGTTCGACCAACAGTACTACCAACAACTGAAGGGAGCCCAAATGGGGTCACCTATCTCTGGCTTCCTTGCCGAGATCACAATGCAGAAACTGGAGGCCACGGCTCTTCCTTTAGTTAATCCGCTCACGGGCACAAACGCGAACGATTATCGATTTTTCCACCTGCGCTGCCAGATGTTAACTGTTGTCGGCACATTTACTCTCAGTCTGCGTCTGACGACGACCTGGGGAACCGGCGTCGAAAATTTACGCAATAAAGTTTATTTTCCCAAAGAACGCCTTTAACTTCAACTTATATTTCTTGGGATGCCTACGTTTCAATACATGCGTATATTTATATATATCGGGGTGTAATATTACATATGCAATATCCCACAGACTTCCATCTTAATGCAAATTTAGAGAAACGCAGATAACAGATTAGAATTATAACTTACTAAGACGATACAAATTTGCGCCTGAAAGGAAAGTGGGTGGTCTAAACCTCGATGCGTTTTCTCAGATATGTTCCACTAAGCCCGATGTGACGAATAGAGACTAAGGTTGCTTGAGATACTTTGAATATTTGCTCCCGTCGGAGTAAACTAGTTCACTAGGATTTAGCATAGTAAAAGAATATCCAACTGGTGCTACTGAAATATTTCGTGGTGACACTGTCTACCAGGTCGTTACTGTCTTCCGTTTTTTTTCAAGACATAGAGTTATTTTGGGATCTGAAGCGACATCTGCGTCACCACGATGCTCTGCGTGTACCGTACATCCATTCGGACAGCCCTTATCTACATCTGTGAATGCCGAGTTGTGCGTGTAGAATATGCGCACCAGATGTTGAGTCACACAGCTTAATTTCGAAGAAAATCGATGTTTTGTCTTTAAGTGGATATTCCTGGACAATGAATGCGTATTTTTGATTGAGTTCTTTAAAGTCGCTTTTTATTTCCAGGTACAATTTCTCCCTAGCCTTATTATAGTCCGGTAGATTAGCTGCATTTCGCAAAGCGCTTGCTTACTGACGCCGTGTCACACCGTCTTCTTCTAGTTATTTTAACAAATTAACAGTGGCGTTTGCTGTATTGTGTGTTTTACTGTAAGTTTGCAAATTTTAATTCTTGTACTGCAAGGGAAACCTGTATCGTACCATTCAATGCCCCAAGAGGACTTGTTAAAAAAAGGCTCACGGCCTTTTCACCAGCTCTGAGAACTAGAACCCTGACCGGAGAAGAAACCGGCGCCAGTGTGTGTTCGCAGCCTTCTCTAGATATGACTAAAAACTGCGCCGCTACCTGTCTTAGCGGTACATCATCTAACGAAATAGTAGATCAGTTGATATAAGGCGATGTTAACGGTAGTTCAGAAAAAGCTGTTGAATAGGCCCTTAAATTTATTGGGGTAAAGATCACCGAAACTGAGGGGTTAAAACGGAAGCATATTTTTAATATTCGTAACATTCTGAATCACACATCTGCTATTGAGGGTGCACGAAATGTCAAATTCAAGGATCGCAGCTCAATTTCAAAGATTAGTGAAGCTTTGCATTTACTTGGATATTCTTAAGCAATTAATGCCTGTTTTTTACTTGAGTCCCTTTAAAAGTCGCCTTTCAATACAAGGTATGATGTTTCACAGTTTTGTTTGACAGTCTGGCAAAATAGTCGTAAATTGTAAAAACCTTTTTAGTGACTCCGTTCCAGACTATCTCGTTCTAGTTTTCGTAGTTAAATATCAGTAGTACTTGCTACTCAGTGCGCTTTTCTGTACTTTAGCAACGTTTTGATCCTTCTACTGTAACGAAAAACTTATCTTGTCTGTAATGCCCCGCAGAGCACGTGCTAAATGAGGAAAGCTGGCGGCCTCCCCACCGTCTCTGGGTGCTAGAACCGTGACCGAGAACAGAGCAGGTGTCAGCATCCCTAATAGCAAGCCAGCTCGCCGCGAGCCAGCGTACTTTGAGGGGGTAGTGGGTCTTTAGCCTGCTCGCGATTTGATTGGTTCCCGGCTCGCCTGCGCCGGCGTCGCGAAGGGCGCAAGCGGCCGCGCATACGTGCACTTGATTATCGATTAACTACGGTGCCCGATAGTCCTCCGGCTCTCGCCGGTGCCACTTTTTGCTATCCCACGCTGCACTGCGCACGCCGTGTCTCGCTCTACGCTGACGTTGCCTACCCTAACTATCTTTGTCTTTGTGTTCCCTTGTGTCTCCTTTTACTCACAGTTATGTTTACTCCTGTCACTAGGCGTAAAATACGGTGTCAAGCGCGCCGAGAAACTGAAGAAATAATAAGAAGAATCAGCGAAGAGGTGGAGGGAATGCCGTCGTCGGACACATCATCCGATAGTTGGTCTGAAAGCGACACGGACGTGTCTATGTCTTCAACTTCGCTGGTGAACGAACGCTCTTCTTCCTTGGAGGGTAGCAGTGTGTTTACGGACGAAGAAGTTGGTTCAACGGCCGAAGTAGAGGAGGAGGATGCAAGCTCTCGTGAAAGTTTGCGAAAGTGGGCTTTACGGTCAAAAATTCCGCATTCTCACTTGAACGATCTGCTGAAGACTTTGAAACCGTGGTTGCCGGACCTCCCTGCTGACGCACGAACGCTGTTGGGCGCGAAATACGTCTCTGCACCGAGCACGGCAATGGTCAGCGGTGAGTATATGCATTTGGGTCTTGCCACTCAGGTCAACGCGCATTTGCGTAATCTAGCTTTGTCCCCTTCGGTAGAAGAAGTAGTTGTAAGTCTAGCAATAGATGGTCTTCCAATCCATAGGAAGACCAAGCGTGAATTTTAGCCTATTTTAGGCAGAATTAGGAAGCCAATATTAAGTAAGGTTTTCACAGTTGGTATATACTGTGGAGTTGGTAAGCCTTCGGACGTGCAGGCGTTCTGCCAACCGCTGGTCGACGATTTATTGTCGTTGAATGAACACGGTTTGCAGCTGGATGCGGGTGACAGAACTCTGCGCTTCCGTTTGGCTTCCGTCATATGTGATGCCCCGGCAAGAGCTTTTATTAAGCAGATTAAAAATGTTAATGCTTACTATGGCTGCGAACGCTGCTGCGTTAAGGGAGAGTACGTTGATAAGATAGTTTATGATAGTGTCTCCGAACATGCTAGGACAGATGAAGATTTTTATTCCAGGGACGATGACTGCCACCGCATTGGCGTGTCGCCATTGCTGGCGTGCAACGTGGGAATGGTAAGCTCCTTCCCCTTAGATCCTTTACATTTGGTGTACCTAGGTGTAATGAGAAGACTTCTCAACCTTAGGCTGCGCAGCCCTAGGGACAGAGCATGTAGGTTGTCTACATCGCAAGTATCGACAATAAATAATAACTTGCGCGCGTTGAACTCGTACCTGCCGAGGGAATTTTCGCAGCGCGCTAGGTCATTAAATGACATGGACACTTGGAAGGGCACAGAACTGCGCCAATTCTTGTTGTACACTGGCGTAGTTGTTCTTTATGGTGTGCTTCCACGTAAGTTTTGGAAGCACTTCTTACTGCTTCTTACAGCAGTACGCTGCCTAGTACGGCCTCGCTCATGCAGACAGTGGGTTCCGTTTTGCAGCCGTGTATTACGCATGTTTGTCGATAAATTTGCGTCTTTGTACGGTAGGAAAGAAAGGGTGCATAATGTTCACAGCATTGTGCACTTGGCGGACGATGTAACACGACATGGTCCGATTGACGCTTTTTCATCCTTTCCTTTCGAAAGTTACCTAGGCAGATTAAAGCGTCTGCTTAGGAAACCTTTCCAGCCATTGCAACAAGTAGTGCGTAGGTTAGGGGAATTGCAGTCAGTGGCAAGTGATATCCACATTAATAAGGAGTGGACGTGTAAACAGCAGCATACAGATGGACCACTTGCCCAGCATGTTGGTTCATTCACACAATTTAAATGTATCCAAAAAGGAAACCTAGTCATTAGTAATACAGTTGCAGACGGCTCAGTGGCCATTGATGATAAGTTAGTTAGGACACCAATTGTGCAACGAGTTAGCACATTGGCCGGTTATGACGAGCTGACGACAAGAGTGTCAGACACGTCATACAGGCGAAATTTGGTAAACAGTATTCGTTATTAATAATAACCATATTCAGGTTGCCTACCTATCAACCATGGGGGGTGACACTGTTTCGGCCTTTGCCGAACGAATATTTTTCACCATTTTTTCTGAGGACGTGGCGGAGTTTCTTACTTTTTACGGCAGGAAGCCTTGTACACGGGCTTTATTTGACAATCCAGTGTACTCTGTGATCCTGGGTAGGATTTTCAATTAGACCAAATAAACATTCACATTCTAGAGGTATTCAATGGGTGGAATAAAGACCACCGTTCTGACCGTCAACAATTAGAAAATGCATTCAAAAATGCATTTAAGAAGGGTCATGACCGATATCAACGGAAATGCCATAGGGCTTCCACCAGCAGGCATTCACAAGGTATGTTTTACTATATTTATGTTACCATTAAATAGCAAAAGGCATAACATGTTTACTTACCACTGCGAAATCTTTCCCTTTTTAGACCAAGCGACGACTATCACAGACCCCACCATTGACAACGGGGACGACCAGCAATAGGCCTTTTATGTATTAAAACAAACATCAGAGTACATGTATTTTTTACAATAGAATTATCATTATCCAATCATGTGTTCCTTTATTCATAATACCGGGAAAAAATTGGGGTATTTTATGGGAATTGGGCAGTTCAAGTGAGGGGAACCCCTGGATGGGTAAGCGCTGGAGCTCGTTTTTTGGAGGTCGGACAAAGCTCGGAACGACTGAACTCGGAAATTCGCAAACTTTTACTTATGCCGATGACCTCAAGTGTGTTTACTCATACTCTAAGGACACCGCAAATGTTTGTGTTGAAAAAATTAATGCCGATTTATTACGCTTAAGCAGATGGGGTTCGACATGGCAGATGGAGTTTTCATCATCCAAGTGTAGTTTCATGTCTTTTGGTCCTACCAAACTTCCTGGTCCCATAATTTTTCAGAATTACCCACTCTCAGAATGTCCCACCATAAAGGACCTAGGTCTAAGTTATACAAATAAACTTGCTTTATCATCTCATGCAGATAGAATCTCTGCCAAAGCCGCGCAGATATGTGGATTCATATCGCATAATTTTTTCCTTCCGGAAATGAAGCTAAGACTTTATCAAATGTTTGTTCTTCCAGTCCTTGAATACTGCTGTCCTTTCTTCGGTTTAATGAACGCCTGTGACCGTAATAAAATCGAAAATGTTCAGAGGGTTTTCACCCGGAAACTGTTCTCTCAAGCTTAGTCCAGTAGTTCTTATACTCAGAGATGTCAGCTGGCGAACATTAAGTTTTTGTGGGTTAGAAGACTCGAAGCTGGCCTTTGCTTCCTTTTTCGCATCAACTCTAGTTCCAGTCTTCCGCACATTGACACTCTCACTCCGAGAGATCGGTCTTATGCCACGCGCAACTCCAGCATGGTGATTCCGCCGCCTCTTTGTACTACATCTAAGCGCTCCCTCTTCTTTGCTTCCAAATATGCCTTCCTTTGGAATAATCTTCCGCCTGAAATTAGATTATCGCCTAAGTTACTGGTATTCAAGTCGAAATTACGCAACCATCTTACACCGGAAAGCATAAAGGCACTGTTAACGGTCTCATTCCCGAACACTCAGATTCTTGACTTCGAGAAGGGTCCTCCTGGGATTTAGTGGTAGATTAAGTGGTAACTCTTAATTATATCATTAGAAACCCCTGTTGTGAATTGGTTTCTAAATCCATCGCTATCCTTCCCCCCCCCCACCCCATAGCGACAATTTTCGCGGTTTTTGATGTCATCTCCCGCATTCCGACCTCATGCGGTCTGTCGGCGGTCACGGTGGAACCCTCAGTCTTCACTGTTTACTAGTAGTTCGGTCGTACCTCCCTTCCTCACTGCTCGGCTGAGCTCGAAGCGTGCTGTGGCCGATCGCATCTCGGTTCCTCTCGTCTGGCCTCTTTGACGCGGCGTACCAATCAGGCCCAGACGATCTCAATTGTGAATCCCGTATACAATGCCATTTGCAAGCCAGTTCTGTCTGACCCACATTCGTACCCATCAAGGCGGACATTTATTGCTACCCTGACGATGACCGACAACATTCCGTTATATACAGCCACCTACAGGCCAGTCCCGCTCGCTTTTTTCTGTTATTATTTTTAAAGAGGGGTTTTTTCTCCTGTAAAATTAATCCAATCATTTTAACTTTTTCTTAGGAGTTTTTTTACCCCTCAATCATCATGTTTCTCAATGGACTTCTAATTTAGAAACTATGATTTGCATTTTGTAAAGATTCGGCCTACCTCGTCTAAAACTCGCATGCAAATTTATTTTAACTTGCATTGATGGGACCCCGACGGGTCTTTAATAAAAATTATCTATCTATCTATCTATCTATCTAGCCCGTTTTTCAGAGCTCCTTTTCGAGAGCTCCGTACGAGCTCCGATCGACGACCGTTTCAGAGCTCCAGCAGAGCTCGCGTACCTCGCAAAACGAGCTCCCTGCGAGCTCGTTCAGAGCACATTTTGCTATTAGGGATATGTCCTTCGCCTTTTGCATACATGGTTAACGCACAAATCCCTTTAGTACATGTAGAACCTCTTGACCATTTAATCGTCCAAAATACGCCTTTGCTAGTCGCAGCAGGCCATCAGCTGACGAAATACTCGATCAGTTGATATATGGCGGCATAAACAGCACTTCTGACAAAGTAATTACACAAGCTTTTAAACTTATAGAGGTAATAAGTTTTGAAACTGAGGATAGAATTAAACGCAACCATAATTTTGTACTGCGAAACATTCCGAGGCACTTATCTGCTATGGAGGGAGCGCATTTGTTCCTACAAAGTTGTGGCTTGAGTTTCAGTATCGCACAAGCTAAACGCCTGCGCTCGCTTAGCCGTAATGCGCCGATACTAGTTACCCTTTTCTCCATGATAGAAGTCGATTTTATCTTGTCGAGGAGGGAGATAACTAGAGAAATCTGTCGTAAATGGCGCTGCTCCGTTTTGCCAGACCTCACACCACTGCAGCGAAGACTGAATATATTAAAATCGGCAAAAACCCACACCAGGATAATGACACCTACTGTCAGTTTGGATAAGTTCCCTACAGCACCATCTGCGGCCTCTGCACGTCACGGCATAGTCAATTCCGTAGGGAATTCGACTACTCTTAATGCTGAGGTCTTTAGAAGCAACGACACCCCTGGTATACAAACGCCTCTAGCGACTCCCCCAGCAGCCCCTAGTAAGCTTAAGCATGTGCCTAAGTCAAAGGCAAATCCAATTGCTGTATAAGAGACAAACCCACTAGTTGGGCACAGCGAGTAGGCTATCCAGGAAACGAAAATAGCAGTATCCCAACAGTTACAAACTAGTAAATAAGAACAAAGTCGTCAGCAGGTAAACGTGCACGTGCGTGTTCTTTGTCTTATTCAAAGTTGTGTCAAAGCATATTGTAACTGATTAAAACAAAACAGATTTAAATGTCACTACAATACTCCCCCTCCTAGGAGAACGGAGTTCAAAAAGATATTGTTAATAGAAGGAAAATGTGGGAGTGTTATGCATATTGTACAAGTTGGTAACGGTCGGGAAAACGGACATGACGACCGCTGCGCGTAAGGGGAGGAGTCTGTGGGATAAGGGAAGACGCGGGGTTATTGGGCGTAAATGGAGTCTGACTGGTAGTACTCGAGTACACGGTCAGCAGTCTCCGCGAGCATCTGAACAGTCGACGAAGGAATGTTAGGCGCAAGGATGGCTTGCACAGAAGGAGGCAACCGTTGGAGGAAAAGTTGCTTGAACATGGTGGCATCCAACTTTTGTCCGTCTGCCAACTGCTCCAAACGCCTAAGAAGCTGCGTAGGCTTCCTGTCACCGAGGTCCTCCTCAGAAATTAAACGTTGGAGACGTTTTTGCGTTGAGAGGGAAATGCGGGAAATGAGGGCCTCCTTTAGGGCAGTATAAGGGGCTTCTGTTGGCGGGCAATCTATGATGTCGCGGAGGTCGGTGGCGATGTCCATTGGGAGTGCTGCCACAACATAGTGAAATTTCGTATCCTCTCGTGTGATCTGACGGAGGGCGAATCGTGACTCTACAGTGCGCAGCCATAACGCGATGTCACCGAGCCACACGGATGGCAGGTCAAAAGTGTGAATGCCGGCTATCGGCTGGCTGGTAGAATCGCTGGACATAATTAGCCGGGGTCGGTCAGAGGTCAGATAAATGGGGTAGAGGACTGGCGCGTTGACAGAGAGATTGAAGGGGAGCGCTCGTATTGGATGAAAGGGTGAGACAGTGTGAATAGCAAATAAGGGCTAGATTAATAATTTGATCGATAAAAATTAGAGTAAGGATAAATCCGAATGGAAATAGTTATGCACAGAGATTAAACAGAAGGAGCTATGAACGATATAGGGTCACCGGTATAAGAGACAAACCCACTAGTTGGGCACAGCGAGTAGGCTATCCAAGAAACGAAAATAGTAGTATCCCAACAGTTACAAACTAGTAAATAAGAACAAAGTCGTCAGCAGGTAAACGTGCACGTGCGTGTTCTTTGTCTTATTCAAAGTTGTATCAAGGCGTATTGTAACGGATTAAAACAAAACAGATTTAAATGTCACTACAGCTGTCTCAGCCACTCGAACACTCGATAAATCCAGCACCATTACAAAATCTTTGCCTACACAATAGGCTAGCAGTGCCTCAAATACTCCGACTCAAATCGTAGCGTGTTCCAAACTGCTCCTTAACACTCATATCGAGGCAGTTAGGCCGAATATGCCGATTTTCCCGCCGTTTAATAAAACTCTTGCTCCAATGGAAGCAATACGTGCCCCACCCCCTAACTTGTTTCCTCCACGGCCGTTTTACCAATGTATTCCTCATGCTTACGTCCACACTGGATCAGTTAACTCATCGGATCCTCACTTTTGTTCCGGTGGGGATCTGTTGCAGTATCTGAACAACGGATTTCCAGCTGAAAATAAGTTAGCTAACAATGGTTACCAGTTTACCTGCCTGTCATTTCCTACCCCAAGTCATACCCCGTTTTATCCACGTCAGACTTTTTTGATGTCACAAAATATTTGCAGAACCATATGATTACATCCGGACCGTTTGCTCCGTGGGCAGCCCAGCACTGGACGACGTAGCCCACCCCCCTAGGAAACAACGGCCTTTCCCCTCAAAATCTTTTTTAAATGCCAGATTTTTGCTTAAAAAGAAGCCTTTGCTTCAGAATCTGGTGTTCGTCCACCGTTCAGACATTTTTTTAGTAAATGAAACGTGGGCGTCACCCTCCGTAGCTGACACCGAACTCTCTCTTCTAGGCTATAATTGCTTTCGAAATGATCATCAAGTAAGCCGTGGTGGGCGCAGCTGCGTCTAGATTACGCAAACACTTACATTTTTGCCGCTGGACCTCCTGCATTTTTCCGCAGTAACAGGCTGCTGCTAGCTCCAAGTTTTACTAAAAAATAAGTTCTCCTTACTTTTTGGCTGGATCAATCGCCCTCCCAACGCCAACGACAATTTTGATCGTTTACTCTCATACGCATTTCATGCTGCGTCCGACTTAAGCTTTAAGTATCATTTGGTAGCGGGTAATTTTAATCTCCCTGAAGTCCGCTGGTTTCCGCCTTCAGGCCCTAGAAGGTTCGAAGACTTTCTTGAGGCTGTGGATGTTGGAATGTTGACTCAGGTTGTCGAATTTCCAACCCGAGGATCAAGCATACTTGACCAGATTTTCTGTACAGGCTGCATGCTATCGTCAGTGTCATTCCTAGGACCACTCGGGGGCTCAGACCATGACATAGTTGTTTCAACGTTGGAATTCGAGGCTGACAAAACGTTGTTCCAAAGTATAGATTTTTCTGCGATTTCCGATCAACTCGCTCGACCGAATTATTACCACACCTTAACTCCAACGACTGGACAGATTTCTTCTTTAGTTCCGGTGTAAATGTTTGCACTGCAAAACTGTACAAAAATTTGGATCCGCTTATTTCTCGTTTCGTCACCCGTAAGAAAATAATTAACATTGGGGATGAGGTTTTCCTACCCTTACCCTTTCGTCGCAGATTGCGCAGACTTTATCATCGATTCCATCTTCAGAACGAGGTTTCTGTCCTGCCCTTGATTTATGACATTTTTGAGCGGGCTAAGAAATTGTCTGAAGAAAAACAGCTAGCCGAAGATGTCCAGTTTAGCGAAAATCATTAGTTAAATATATCGAAACTTTTCTCTAGAAAAATACGAACTCACAGACAAACGCAACATTCCATCGTCCGAGACGATCTCGGAAATCCCATAGTTGATGCCCAGCTAACCGCTGATAGCTTCAATGACTTCCTGTCCAAAACGTTTATTGAAGACTCGACCACCCCGCTTTCGACGATCCACGCATTGACCGGGACAGTTCTAGAAACTATAACTTTCACTCTGTGGGATGTGACTGTTGCGATTCGGCGTTTTCGTCAATTATATAGTCCAGGCTCTGATGGTGTCCCAGTAAGCATTTTAAAAGCCGATGCAAATACGATCTTCCCATCCCTCTTATACAAAATATTTAATCTTGCTTTTGAAAGTGGAACATATCCTACCTTGTGGAAGGAATCACTCATTATACCCATTCCTAGGCACCACAAATCTACGTCATTTGATGACTTTCGTCCAATAAACACCCCCCCTGCAGTTTCGAAGATCTTGGAGACATTGATCAAAAATAACATGATGTGTCACTTAACAGTGAATAACCTACTGATTGCTACTCAGCATGGATTACTCAAAGCTCGGTCTTGTGACACCTGTCAACCTTTATCTGAATACTGACTCGATTAAACTTTTATTTTCTTCATCCTTCCCAGACAGATTTTTCTATGACACTGAGAAAGGGCACCCGGGAATTTAATAAATAAATAAATTTTTTATTTAATGCCAGTTTACAGGCATTGTCAAGGGAAGCGATAAAACACAAATCCGACCAGCAGTGACAAAAAACTCCTGAGCTATAGGTGTAAAATATAGCTGATTGCGGGTTTATGGTTTGGAGGGCTCAGGAGAAAAAACTGCCGGCGGTGGTAGAATATCGACCGTCAAGAAAGGGGGAGGTTGCACGGTATCGGAGATTATCGGACGTCAAATTCCTTTCATGAAGTTGGGGATAGTCAAATTAGAGGCGTTGAGGAACAGCTGGTGAGACCGGCCATAGTGTTCAGAGACCACAAACGCCATCGCTACGGTACAGTCGATCAGCAGTTTCAGCATTCAAAATTTGTGGGAGCTTTTCTGAATGCAAAAATCGAGTAATAGTTCTCTTAAATAAAGGATAATTTTGCAGAGTTTTCACACTCATGGGTAGTTTATTCCAAATAGCAATTGCATTTACAGAAAAGAACCGATGATATTTAACAGTACGTGCCAGAGGAATAAATAAAAAGACCTCACGGTGACTGTTACGTCTTGGGTGGATATGATGTCTTAAAGAGGTGAGCGGGTTAAATGTGTGATTATATAAGAGTTTAAATAGCAAAAATAGTCCCTTTTTTAATCTACGGAACCATAAAGGATCGAGGCCTGTAAGCCGACAACGTTCTTGGTAAGACAAATGTCGGTATTCCGGGGCTAAAATTCTCTTGGTAAAAAAGTGTTGAACGGATTCTATTTTCTTCTGCTCAATAGCACGCATGAGGCCAAATAAAAACGAACAGTATTCCAGACCAGGTCAAACGTACATGTTGAAAAGGCGCATTCTAATGCCCCTAGTTTTAAAATTTCGGAGGATAAACCCGGTCGTTCTACGTGCTTTGGAGACTATCAAGGCATAGTGCACCGAGAGATTGAGACTCTTGGAGTATGATACGCCCAAATCCCTTATAACCCCTGGCACATTTATTGCGTGACCTTCAATACTTAGTTGAGGTTGGCGGTCGTAGCCAACCACCGTGACTGAGCATTTATGCCAAGAAAGAGAGAGGCGCCACGTGCGGCACCACTGGGCGAAAGCCTGTAGATAGCCCTTTAGGAGCTCAAGCACGATGTCATGATCTGCCGGCTTATATCGATATGCAACTTTAAGATCATCGGCATACATGAAAGGCCTACCATTCTGAAATAAATCGGGTACATCATTAACGAAAAGGCAAAATACAAGCGGGCCGAGTACACTACCCTGAATGACTCCACTCCTCACACGTGTGAGGTTGGAGATGGTATTGGAAATCTTAACTCGTTGTGTGCGAGTGCCCAAATAAGAGGATATAAAATTCGAAATTTTGCCACCTATTCCGAAAGAGGACAGTTTCAAGAGAAGAAGAGCATGGTCAACACGGTCAAAAGCCTTAGTGAAATCGATATACACTGTGTAAAGTGCAAAACTATTGTCCCTAGATTGGAGAACATAGTCAAAGGAAGAGAGTTGACAGGTGTCACAAGATCGAGCTTTGAGGAATCCATGCTGAGCAGCACTCAGTAAGTTATTCGCCGTTAAGTGACACATCATCTTATCCTTGATCAGTGTCTGTAAGATCTTCGAAGCTGCGGGGAGGGTGTTTATTGGCCGAAAGTCATCAAATGATGTAGATTTGCCGTGCTTAGGAATGGGCAAAATGTGTGATTCCTTCCACAAGGTAGGATAAGTTTCACTGTCAAGAGCAAGATTAAATATCTTGCACAAGAGAGATGGGAAGATCGTGTTTGCATCGGCTTTTAAAATGCTTACTGGGACACCATCAGAGCCTGGACTATATAATTGACGAAAACGCCGAATCGCAACAGTCACATCCCACAGAGTGAAAGTTATAGTTTCTAGAACTGTCCCGGTCAATGCGTGGATCGTCGAAAGCGGGGTGGTCGAGTCTTCAATAAACGTTTTGGACAGGAAATCATTGAAGCTATCAGCGGTTAGCTGGGCATCAACTATGGGATTTCCGAGATCGTCTCGAAGGATGGGATGCTGCGTCTTTCTATGAGTTCGTATTTTTCTAGAGAAAAGTTTCGAGACACTTAACGAATGGTTTTCGGTAAAGTAATATGCCGCCATTAAATTTCCGTATCTGTTCACATTTCCTCCCTTGGTGAATAGTCTCGCTTCAATTCAATTATTTTTTATTAAAGACCCGTCGGGGTCCCCTCAAAGCAAGTAAAATAAATTTACATGCAAATTTTAGACGATGTAGGCAAAATCTGCACA